ATATATGTTTCGTTACCATGATGAAACTGGTGGTGCACATTGTCATAGAAGGTAATGGAAATTTCTCAGGCAAGGATATAAATAATCGAACAGCTTGGAGAGACATTTCGGCAAAGCCACTGCTTAATGGTATATGGTTGTGGCGGGGAAGACTGATGTTAATTAAGGTTATTATACCAAAGAAAGTTATAGTACATGAGAGAAAATATATAAAAAAGGAAAAAATTAGTTGACAAGAACCCTCTAACAGATATATTAGCTTCCACACACTATTCAGAAAGACTGCTACTTTCTAGTTAAATGATAGCAAATTAGAGACTAATACAAGAAAAAAATTGATTAGATTAATATAAACTTGTGAAGGAAAAGCATCAAGCAGGCACCCAAGCAGTAGCGAATACAACATTATGTCCTTTCCAAGTAAGTACAAGATCGTCTTCTTCTTTCTTTAATCCCCATCCAGCTGCATGCTCATCAAGCATGGTTTTCACTTCTGAAACCGCGTCTTCACCAAAACTAAACCCTCGAAAATTGGCGTTTCGCATCCGCTGCACCCACCGGCTCTTTGGTTCAAGCCTCTCAACCCTCTGCAGGCCTTCGTGAGCTATCACATTCTCTATCTTCCAACAAATATCAGCTTCATACCACTGCCTTTGCTTGCTTCCTTGTGGAAGAAACGTATCCACAGTGTCATATGGTATCCATAGATAATTGAATGCAGACCTTAATCGGCATACCAAATTATTAGATGTCAAATCCGCATCCTCGTCTACTAGAACAACAATTGTTGGGTCTAATCCGCGTAGTGCCTTGAGAAACATGGTTCGAAGAGATGAAGTGGAAGATGGTTCGAAAGAGTAAGGATTTGAATTTGCATTAGGAAGAGGAGACAATGTTTCCTCTGGTATATAGTGAAGCATCATGTGACAGTTTATAACAAGAGCCTCACCACTTTCTGCATATACTAAATGTTGCACGCGAAGCTGCTCGATCAAAGAGGAGAATCCATCAGCATAAGTTGAAGGAACGACTCTGAATTCCAACATTACATTGCGTGACCTAGCGAAGTTAACCAACTTGGAGCCTAACTCTTCATAAGAAAGGTCAAGCATCGGCGGGATATCTTCAGTGGCACCACCAGCAACTGTGAGTTTCAGCAATGGGGGTCCCTCAAGCCTGTTAGCTATGGCATCAATCAATGTAGGGATTTGCATGCAATGTGTCAAGCTTAAATCAACTATGTGAATTACGGAATACCCTTCAACAGCTTCTAGTATTGCTGCGTTTGCTGCGGTGAAACCGAACCGATGCCATGGGGTTAAGTCCACAAAGCTGGCTAGCTCGATGACAGAGAAAGCGTGGATGTCGATAGAAAGGTTGCAATGAGCATTTGCCATTGCTGCAAGCATTTTGCAAGTGCCATTTTTTGCTGCTCGGACAATAAGAGCTCGAAGGAAAGCACAGGTCAAGCGCTGGTTAGAGTCACCATCTGGTGGTGCAATGTTGTTTAGAACCCAAAGAATCTGCTGCGCTAGAGTGGCATCGTTGCTTTCTATTGCGTTTGCGCAATGGACTAAAAGTTGTTCCATGCAATTGGCATCACCAAAGCTACCTAAACCCTTTGAGGTAGGGAATCCAGGCCATGGACGGGCCCGGTGGATTTGGTTTTTGTTCATTGTGGGAATTGAAAATGGAGTGATTTGGTGCAAGGGTTGTGGTGGGGTTTCAGTGAATTGCATCATGGAGAGGAAGAAAGAGAGAGAGAGAGAACCAAATTGAGAGTAGAGCAAAGGAAAATAAAAATAGTACTAACAAATGGAAATCAGAAATCAGAAGCGAGCAGAAAAGATAGAAAAAGACCAGACTAATAGTGGGTACCTTGGCATTGGGAAACGATCCTCACAGTAATGGTGAAAGAGTGAAAACAGCCGAGTTATAGTACAGTTTGGGGGAATTCTGCAAATGAATCACAGAAAATTGACAGTTCAGCTTTTATGAGGGATTTTATTTTCATCCAACAAAGGAAACTAAAAGGGACCGTTCAAAGAGTAAACTCTCATCCCAAAAAAGCTTGGTTGAAGTCAAATTCGGCAAAAGAGACCCTTCTTGCAAGAAAAGATCGGCCTTTTCAGTTGCTAAAGATAGGGGATGCAATGAGGCAAACCGAAAACCACTGATCCAAAACAACCTTTTCTTGGCAACAAAAGGGTCTAATCCCCCTATTCTGAATTCTCCTCTTTTCTGCCTTCTCTTTCCCTACTGCTACTATAACCTAAGACAGAGAGATGGACAGAGGGAAAAAGAGAGAGAGAGTTAGAGAGGTAATATAAAGGAAAGGAAGAGGGATGGTGGGCTGCTGCTTCTGTAGGATTTTGGTGGCATGTGAGGATAGCCGGCCAGGATATTGTCTATATGTGGGAGTTGGGATTTTGTCATGTAATGAGGAGTGGGGATTGAAGGCAGTTAAGCTTTGGCTCACTCACTCACGGGCCATATGACATGATCACTTTCTCATATGATGAAGAAATCATTTTATGCAGGTCTTTTGTTCTCTCTTTTTTCTTCATTCTTTTTCCTTTTTGCCTTCTCTGCTAAGCATCTGAATTTCTTCTCTCTTGTATATCTTCCAAATTACATCCAAACATTTAATTTATTAATCACTATATAGTCTTTCTATTTAAAAAACAGAATTCGAATTCTTTTCTCCCAATTCAAAAAAAATATCTTCCAAATTAGCTGAACACCTTTGTAGAACTGTTACATTCTCCATCTTGACGGATTCAATTGTAAGAACATATATATCCATATATGATCATTATTGATTGATGCAGTCCATTGATTTTTAGAGTTTTAATGTGAGAAAAGAGAGAGAATGTGGCAGGGGCCCCTCAAAAGACTCATGGCAGCCAAAATCTTTCCATGTTCTGATGAGACAAATTCAATAAAGGAATGGTCATTGTCCAACCCAAATGAAAAATGCTTCTCTTCCATAATGTTTAACTCTCTCTCTCTCTTCAACGAAAGTGCTTATAAGAGAAAGCTCTATGTGAGAAAATAAAACCAAAGTTGCTCTACTGGCAGCATTATGAGATAAATTACACAAAGAAAACTTATGCAATAATTAAAATTCGTAGCTTGTGTATCTAGTTGACTTTGAGCAAAAGGACCAACAAGGCCCGAGTAATTATTTCTTTGCAAAAAATGAATAAATTAAATTCAAATATAGTTGGAAAATTAATGTAGGAAAAAGGAAAATGAGTCACTCAATGGAATTGGTGCTAAAGGCTAACCATCAGTATAGGTATGTCACATGAAAAAGACCATGAGTTTGCGAGTCCTGATATTTCCATCTGTCTTCCCCAATTTGCCATTCTAATATGTTTTTGGCATAGATCTAATTAATGCATAACTTCTTTGTAAATTTTAGCAAAAATAATAAAGATGCTGTCCCACATGCATTGATCTCTAGGAAAGACATATATACTTTTTAGGTTTTAGCAAATAATTCATACCCCACACACAATGCTCTCGAGGGTAGACAAAACTATACTTCATACATTCTCCAACCCTTCTCTCTCTCTCTCTCACCAACTTTGTCGAATCAAAATTTGTAAGAGATCTTATCCAGGACCAGTTTTTGGATATCCACAAGAATATTTTGAATTTGGAATTTAAGAGGATTATAATTAAAAGGTAGTAATATCTTGTGAAGGCAGGCAGGCAGGCAGACACACACCCCTTTGGAAAGGGTCCATAAATCATTTTATTTCATCTCTACATAGAAATTGACCCTTCTGCAACTCACACGTGATATACTTCCTTTTGTTCCCTTATTGAAGGACTGGTTCCCTCGCAGCCCCAACCCCACCTTAAATAGACTACTCGACCATGCCACCCAAGAAAAAGGGACACCTCCTCACCGCCCCTATCACTTGCCTTCTGTTCATCAACTTCCTTTCACTAATCCTAGAGAATTCTGGGCCTCATCTGCATTTCATTTAACGTTTGAAATTTGGGAAACCTGCCTCATCTTAACCATGAAAATTCGAAGATCATTGAACTATATAGATAGGATAATGTTCCCCTCACAATTCCCACTCACCACTCAATTCATCTTATATCATAGTTATTTGTCTTACATGCGGCATTGTATGAGGTGAATGCAAATAATTGAGAACTTACCAATGTAAATATAATAGATATCAACTGCCCTTTTTTTCTTTTCATTTTCATGTAAAATATCACACTGCAAGAATATATTCAATGCCTCAAATCTACAAAGTGCAATTCTGTATCGTTTTTTCACTAGATTAATGAGTTTCAATCAAAGATAATTTCCTTCATCAATGTTCAATTCATGTATGTAATTACAAAACAGCTACTGGTCCCTAGCTGATACCATATCTTTTTCTCTGTATATTTTTAGTCTATGATGAAAATCATGGACATACTTTATAAAAATAAACTCTAGTTTTGTCGCGAGAGCAGTCTGTCAAAACAGTTGGTAAACAAATTGATAGGTTCTACCCATGTAATTTTATACATATATTGTGATCCTAGGGGTTAGGAGGGAACCAAAGAAAGCTGACAAACTTTTTGCTGAAATTTTGTTTTTTTACCATATCAATCCAACCTTTTGTAATCCTTTTACCAAGTATCGGAATGCATGCAGCTGAATAAGAGTATAAGAAGAATCCAAGGGAAAGCATATAAGGAGAATCATATAAGTTAAGGAAGTGAGGTTTAAATAAAATTTGTGAGAAATCTGATGAGGATTCCTAAACTTTGAGATACAAGGACTAAAAGACATGTGGGCTTAAGAAATATATCAGGGCATGTTTTCTCAGGGCATCCCCCATGGTCTAATTTGTTCTTACATCCATTAAGACAAGACAAAAAACAAGGTAGCAAGCATGAAAGTAAGGAATGAAACCATGTGCTTAAGATACCCGATTTGATAAAACATCTGTTTTCTGTATTAAATTAATGAATTTTAAGCACAGTTGGTATAATATTATATATATAAACTCTAAAGGTGAGGAACTTACCCCAAACATATGGAAGCCAAAGATATACAAACACAAGCTTCGAATGTTGAGCTACAGAGAAAATAGAAAAATTATAATAAAAAAAGGCCAATTTCTACTTGCTAACTTGGATTAGAACTTTGATATATCAACTTGTGCAGTATTAAGCCAAAACAATCCACCCAATCATTACTTAGGGAAGCTTGGATTTTTCTGTTGTATAAGATGAATATTAAAAAAAAAATTAAACATGCATTATATATAGTTCAAGGTGTTATAACATCCAATAGTTTTGAAATTAATCAGAGGCTCCTAACAAATGTGAGATAATATCAAAACAAAACGGATTACAAAATTACGCCAGAGAATGGCAGCTTGGTATACAGTTGCTATCATATATATATAAAATATCATTTGAGCATGTTGCCTTCAAGTTTTTGTTCACTTCCAATGTCGTATGCAGTACTAATTTGGCGCAGCAATGCCCATTTTGAAATTCAGATTAGAAGGGATTGGTTAAACAAGGATGTGCTTTACCTTTACTAAACAGCATTAAAAACCAAAACCCTAAAGATCTGTACCTAAGGGGTGAGTTAGGTTCTAAAATTTTAAAGCTTATTCGTGGTTTGCCACATGGACCTCTATAGCTTATATTAGCCTTGTACATACAAGGAAAAGGAAGTGGTTAGGTCCGCGGGAAGGTAGAAAAATTCCCTCCTTGGAAGAACTCAAAGTTTGACAAAATGAACTACGAACAAATCTGGGGAAAAAATATGAGAATCGAAGTGGGGAATAAAAAAAAGGGTAATGCATGCCTTTGGGTTTCAAAATATTAGTGGTAGAGTACTTTCTAATAGTATAAATAAAAAAAGGCTTTGTCGTTTATGCAGAGAAGAAGAATTTCGTACCTTTCCAAGGCTTCTCAGCCTCTGATCAAATGCTGAAAGTACAGATCGATGATGCAAGTCATTTCCAAAGAGTGTGTAGGGTCTATGATCAGATGAACCCTTGTTTGTTTCGTTTTTTTTTTCTCTAGTCCATGGACTAGGATAGTAGCTACCTAAAGTACACAGCAAGGGGTAGTTTAATTGCCATTAAATTCCCCCTGGTTTTGGTACAGTTTCTATAACAATATTTATGAGATTCAAAAAGTTTGATAGAATTACTTAACAGAGGTTTACATCTCAATAACATAATAGTAAAAGAACATTATCTACATAATTAAAAGAAAAACAAATTAAAGAATGTTAAAGAACTTCTTGTTTATCATGAACAATTTCCCAATTCACAAAGAATAAATGAATAAGGGAAGTTACTGTCTGTGCTGCTGCTCTACGTCAACAAGTCTGGGAAGCAAGTAAAACTTGTTGGCACTTTGTTACTTTCTTTTAAAGCCTTATATATATATATATATATATATATATAACATATATATTTAAATGTTGTGGCAAATTTAATAAATTCACCAAGCATGGTTTTGTCATCTTGGACTTATCCTACAAACAGGCCTCTTGTACCCAAAAAAAAAAGGTTTAACAGGCCTCAGCCCAAACACTATATGCCCTGATAGTGATATGTTTCTTCCTTTAACTAGCTAGGCCTGTTTGTTTAGTACTTTGCAAATGGGCTATTCTCCTCTCCTTTAGTAGGACTTTCTCCCTTGAAAGCCCTTATAGAATGGTATGGGATATTATTGTTTTTGGGGTTTGAACAATAAATAAATGTTTAGAAGGGGAAAGTGATGTGGAGCTGACACGTTCACGTGCCAGAAAACATTCTCCAACGTCAGCAAAGAGTATGCATCCCCCAATGTTTCAGGGGCTAAGTTGTTTGTGTATTTGTGGTT